TTTTTTTTTTTTTTTTATTGTGTCTCCTTTTTATTTATTTATATATGCAGCCCTATACTACTATCCTCCTCATGAGGTATTAAGGGGTCCCTCCTTATTATATGAATATAATAAGGAATTAATTGTCTCCTTAATAGATAATTATATAAACCCTAATAAATTAAGAGTATTTATATTAGATAAAAGGAGACAATTAGATAAAAAAAAGACAGAAAAACGTTATAATATAAATTACCAACAAGAGACAATAAAGGAGACAATTATTCAGCAATGGAGACATTTTTTCTCCTTAAAAGGAGACACTTTGCTTGCTGCACTGCAGCAGCACGAATTGTCTCTCCCTCCTCCTAATCCTTATGCTCGTATACTGCAGCAGCATCTGCAGCAACTGCAGCAGCAACAGCAGCAACGCCAACAAATGCAACTTATGCAGCAACCTTACCGCTCCCTCCAACAGCAACAGCAACAGCAGCAGCAGCAACAGCAGCAGCAGCAGCAGCAGCAGAACGAGACACCTTATCTTATTGCCCCTCCTCCTTATAATGTATACTATAAAGGAGACACTAAATTTAATGTCCCTAAGACAGCAGTGTCTCTTCATTTCTATTATAAGCCGAAGCAGCAAGACAGTGACCCCACAGCAGCAGCAGCAGCAGCAGCAGCAACTGCTGCAGCAGCAGCAGCAGAGGGGACAGCAACAACAATAGACTACCGTCTCCGTCAGTATATACTAACACTCTTATATGTCCGCCTTGCTAACCTCTCTATAGCGGAGGTATGTCTATGCATGCATGCATGCACGCATGCTGCTCTTGTTGCTGCTGCTGTTGTTGTTGCTGCTGCTGCTGCTGCTGCTGTTGCTGCTGTTGCTGTTTTGCTGCCGTGTCTCCTTGTGCTGCATTGTCTCCTTAATGTGTCTCCTTGTGTCTCCTTAGGTATTTGACGATGCTGCTCGTGCTGCAGTTGGGGTGTCTCTTGAGGTAGGGGTAGAGGTGTCTAGTGCCCTAAGGCCTTTTGCTGTGGGGCTGCATGCGTTTGGCTATACTCCTTTTGTTGCTTCTGTTCTTGTTAAGGTAGCTAAGTGTCTTGGGCAGCAGCAAGACAGCAGCAGCAGCAGCAGCATCAGCAACAGCAGCAGCAACAGCAGCAGCATTGACAGCAGCATAAACAGCAGCAGCATTAGCAGTATTAGTACAGACAGCAACGGCAACATTAACATTAGCAGCAGCACAACTAGCAGCAGCACAACAACCAGCAGCAGCAGCAGCAGCAGCAGCAGCAGCATCCCCGATAGCAGCAGCAGCAAGGACAGCAGCAGCAGCAACAGGAGCGAGTATAAGTGTCCCCTTAACCCTTTCCTGCAGCATGATTTGCTGCTAGCAGCATGGGAGTCATTAGAGACAGCAGCAAGAGTTGCTGCAGTACATAGATCTCCTGCAGCACAAGCAGGAGACATATTAAGAAAAAGTGTCTCCTTTCCTTTCTTCTCCCCGCAACAAATCTATAAAGGACTACAAATAATTAAGCAACAGCATAGCAGCAACAAGGAGACAATTAATAATAAGGAGACACATAAGAATAAGGAGACACATAAGAATAAGGAGACAATTAATAATAAGGAGACAATTAATAATAAGGAGACAATTAATAATAAGGAGACAATTTATAATAAGGAGACAATTTATAATAAGGAGATAGAGACACTTGAAGGATACACCACAGAAAAGGAGACACATAACAAGGAGACAGATAAGGAGGAGACAGATAAGGAGGAGACAGATAAGGAGGAGACAGATAAGAAGGAGACAGATAAGAAGGAGACAGATAGGGAGGAGACAGATAAGAAGGAGACAGTTGATTGGCATAAGAGTTTATATTTAGAGATTGTTCGTTGGGGACAACAAGTCTGGAGGGAAGTCTACATAGAGGGACTTATACAGGTCAGTAATTACCTACCTAGCTAGCTAGCTAGCTAGCTAGCTAGCTAGCTAGGTAGGTAGCTAGCTAGCTAGGTAGCTAGATGGCTAACTAGACGGCTAGCTAGACGGCTGGATAGCTAGCTAGCTAGGCAGCGAGCAACAACTAGCTAACTTACTAACTAGCTAGCTATCTAGTAGAGAAGTGGCTAGCTGCAGACAACAACTAGTAGCCTCTGCTCCTGCTCCTGCTGCTGCAGCAGCAGCAGCAGCAGCACCACCACCACCACCACCACCACCACCACCAATTTGTGTAATTTGTCTCCTTTTGCTGCTGCTGTGATGCTGCTGCAGGGAAGTATTGAGAAGCCTGCTGCTGTGTCTCTTTTATCATCAATTGTCTCCTCTCTGCCTATACACCGCATAGTAGATGCAGAGACAGCAGAGGCATATATAAAAGTGTCTCCTTTTTCTTCTCTTAGTATAAAAGAAGAAGGCCCTTCTCCTATCTCCTTAGTAACACGTAGTGCCCCTATAAGGAGACTGCATAGACACCAGAGAAAGGAGACAGGAGACAAGGAGACACTTAATCGGGGGGAGGAGAAGGAGGAGGAGGAGGAGACAGTTGGAGGGGATAAGGAGATAGAGGAGACAGAGGAGACAATGAATAAGAATAAGGAAATAGATATAAAGGATATATATAAGATAATAAAGGATAAAAAAAATAAAAAAGGAAAAAAGAGACACTTATTAGTAAAGGAGACAATTAAGGAGACAAGGAGACACCCTAGACAATTAACAATTATAAAAAAAAATAAAAATCCTTATGACCCTAAAAATCATGTACTCTTTGCTATTGAGGTAACACACACTACCAGCAGCAGCAGCAGCAGCAGCAGCAGCAGCAACAGCAGCAACAACAGTAGTCTTCTGTGCCCTTTTATGTATCTATACACACATGCATGCATATATACATACCCACCTACCTACATGCATGCATGCATACATACACACACACACACCTCCATACACACCTCCATGCATGCATGCATGCATGCATGCATGCATGCATGCATGCATATATTTATTAATTTGTGTACAGGTTGGGGCTGTGTCTACAATAGAAGAAAGAGTATTATTATATTTATTAAAGAAAAAAATAAAACAAAAATTTTTTAATAAGTTACGTAGTGATGAGCAATTAGGGTATAATGTGCATGCATGCATGCAGAGGATAGAGGGAAGAATATATATAATATATTCATTAAGTACAATATATAATCCTATATATATACAAGAAAGAATAAATTTATTTATATATAAAGAAAAAAAAGAATTTATTAATAAAAAAAAATTATATACACTTATGCATGCAGGTGTCTCCTATTGGTCAAGAGACACTAAGTGTCTCCTTGATGATTTTTTCCTTAATTTACAGCAAATAAATAAAAGGGAATATATATTTAATTTAAGGCAATTAATGGTCCAACAAATACAGTAAGAGGAGACACTTTGTTGCTCTTTTTGCTCCTCCTCCTCCTGCTGCTGCTGCTGCTGTCGCTGCTGCTGCTGCTGCTGCTGTTGTTGTTGTAGTAGATAGGTAGACACCAGACAGAGCAGAAAGAGACAGCAAATAGACACAACAGGAGACATTTTATATAAATATAAATAAATACATAAATAAATAAATAAATTAATTAAATAATTTAAATAAATAAAATAAATAAATAAATAAATAAAGTGTCTCCTTTTTTTTTTGTCTCCTTTTTTTTTGTGTCTCCTTAGGAAGGTAAAAGAAGGAGACATAGAAAGATTTGAGCAACAAAGGGTCTTCTCTTCTCCAAGTGTCTCCATTCAGGTGTATAGTCAGCTACAGGTACCTAAAGAGGGACCACTGCAGCACGAGCAGCAGCATCATCAGCAGCAGCAGCTGCTGCTGCAGGAGCAGCAGGAGCAAGAGGAGGAATAGCTCTTGCTGCAACAGCAGCAGCAGCAGCAGCAGACGAATTGGTGCAGTAGACTCAGCCCCAGGCGGGGCAAACCCCTGCTGCAGTTGCTGCAGCTCTAGCAGTTGCAACAGCAACTGCAGCAGCAACTGCAGCAGCAGCAGCAGCAACAACTGCAGAAACAGCAGCAGTTGCTGCTAAGGGCAGGCTCTAGTATATTTTAATTTATTTATAAAGGAGACAAATGTTTTTGTTTTATTTAATTTATTAATAGGGAGACAATGCATAAAAGGAGACAGATGTGCTGCTGCTGCTGCTGCTGCTGCTGTTGCTGCTGCTGCTTTTGCTGCTGCTGTTTTTGCTGCTGCTGCTTTTGCTGCTACTGCTGCTGCTTCTGCTAATAGCGAGTAGAAAGAGGGATAGCTATTAGGAGACAGATAGGTGCTGCTGTCTATTATGTATATGTTTATATACATAAATAAAATAAATAAATACAATAAATACAATAAGTAAATAAAATAAATAAAATAAATAAATAAAATAAATAAAATAAATAAAATAAATTAAATAAATAAATAAAATAAATAAAATATTTATTAATTATAATTATTGTTGTATCTTAGAGACACATATGTTATTGTTGTTGTATACAAGGAAAAAAATAAATTTTTTTTTTTTTCTCTTTTTCTTTATGCATGCGTATATAATTAAATATATTTATTTAAGTGTCTCCTTTTTATGTTCTTGTGTCTCCTTTTTATCTGCTTTCTAGGGTTTAGGGTTTAGGATTTAGGGTTTAGGGTTTAGGGTTTAGGGTTTAGGGTTTAGGGTTTGCTATATCCTTCCTTATGTTGTCTCTTAGTGTCTCCTTTTGTGTCTCTTTATCTGTCTCTCCTTCCTCTGTCTCCTTTTTTGTCTCTTTTTCTGTCTCTTCTTCTCCTGTCTCCTTTTTTGTCCCTTTATTTGTCTCTTTTTTTTTATTTTGTCCCTTTTGTCTCTTTATTAAGAAAGAGCAACAAAAGAAATAAACTTTTTTCTTTTTATTTATATTTATATTTATTGTACTAATTATATATTATATATTTATATTTATAAATATAAATATAGATATATATATAAATAAATAAATAAATATATAAATAAATATAAATATAAATAAATATAAATATAAATAAATATAAATATAAATAAATATAAATAAATATAAATATAAATATATATAATAATATTATTAATAAAGGAGACACTTAAATAACAGCAACCCTTAAGGAGACACAAAAGGAGACACAAAAGGAGACAGCAGCAAATCTATTCAATGTTATGCATGCTGCTGCTCGTAAGACACTGCTGCTGCTGCTGCTGCTGTCCGTTGCATGCATGCATGCAACGGACAGCAGCAGCAGTAGCAACAGCAGCAGCAGTAGCAGCAGCAGACACACAAATATAAATAAAGATATAAATTGTCCTCCTTTCTTTACTATAAAATTAAACAATAAATACACATATAAATACAGCAGCAGCAGCAGCAACAGCAGCAGCAGCAGCAGCAGCAATAGCAGCAGCAGCAGCAGCAATACCACCGGTCTGGGGTCCTCAATGACCGTTGTGTCTTTGCTGCATGCACAAAGGCATTTATTTATTTATTTATTAATAATTATAAATAAATAAAGTAAATAATAAATAAATAATAAATAAATAAACAATTTATTATTTGTCTTATTTGTTCATCTTTTCCCTTTTTCCTTAACCCCCCCCCTTTACAGCAACAGCAGCAGCAGCAGTCACCGCTGCTGTTGCTGTTGCTGTTGCTGCTGCTGCTGCTGCATTGTTTACTTACTCTCCTCCCTTAATACTCTTTTAAGTCATTCCTGTTGCCTCCATTCCTTTAGGGGGGCCCCTGCTGCTCATCAGGACCAAAGGGTACCACAGGGGGCCCCTGGGGCCCCCCTTAAGCCCTCTTCCCCCTAAGGCCTCCTTAGGGTCAAATAAACCCTTTTTAGGGCCCCTCTAGAGGATCTTTACTAGTCCCCCCTTTAGGGGCCCCCTTCCCTGCAGGCCCCTTTTCCTCCCTTAGGGCCCCCTCTACGAACACCCCTATTAGGGCCCCCACGTGTAGGACCCTATAGGGGGCCCTTCTTAGGGCCCCTCCTACAGACCGACAAAGGCCTCCCCCCTAGAGTCCCTATTAGGGGCCCCTATTCCTCCTGCTGTGCCCCCCTTAGGGGCCCCTTCTTCTTTTTTCTTTCTTTTTTTTTTTCTGTATATAGTATAAAAAAAAAATGTCAGTAGGAGGGAGACAGGGGCCCCATTCCTTAAGTTTAAGGGGGGCCCTATTAGATATAGAGGAAATAGATAGAAAGGAGACAGCAAAAGGAGTAATAAATAGATTAAATATAGCGGCAAATATATTGGAGACACAAGAGGCAAAAAAAACTGCCCTCTTATTAAGGGACATGGAGACACTTAATTCTCCTCTAATTCCTTCCCCTATACAAATCTTACCAGGTATATACAAAAAAAAACTGTCTCCTTTTTTTCTGTCTCCTTTTTGTCTCCTTTTTTTCTGTCTCCTTTTTGTCTCCTTTTTTTCTGTCTCCTTTTTGTCTCCCTTTTTTCTGTCCCCTTTTTGTCGCCTTTTTTTTACTGTCTCCTTTTTGTCTCCTTTTTTTTACTGTCTCCTTTTTGTCTCCTTTTATTACTGTCTCCTTTTTGTCTCCTTTTTTTACTGTCTCCTTTTTGTCTCCTTTTATTACTGTCTCCTTGTTGTCTCCTTTTATTACTGTCTCCCTTTTGTCTCTCTTTTACTGTCTCCTTTTTTTCTGTCTCCTTTTTGTCTCCCCTTTGCTGTCTCCATTTATTGCTGTCTCCTCTTTGCTGGTTCCTTTTTGCTGTCTTCTTTTTGTTGCCTCCTGTATGTGTCTCTTATATGTCACTGTTTCTCCTTCTGTCCTCCTTTATCCCCTCTTGTCTCCTTTTGTCTCCTCTTATCTCCTTTTGTCTCCTTGTGTCTCCTTTTGTCTCCTTGTGTCTCCTTTTGTCTCCTTCTGAGGTATCTGTGGATCCCTTAGTTAATTTATTAACAATATGTGTCTCCTTGTGTCTCCTTTATGTCCTTATATATCCTTATGTATCTTATATATATTTGGGTCTCTTATTGTCCCCTATGTGTCTCCTTTATCTCCTTAATATCCTTCTGTCTCCTTGTGTCTCTTTTTGTCCCTTTTTGCAGAGATATTCGTAGAAATATTCGTAAAATTATTAACAATATTAGCTCTTTGTTTATTTGCTGTTGCTGCTGGTATTATAGTTGGATCTATGCTAGGTAGATCAACAATAACACCAGCAATGCTTCTCCTATCTGTCTCCTCTTATACTGATGAATTGTCTCCTCCTGTACAGATTATTATTCCTGACAGCAGCAGCAGCAGCAGCAGCAGCAGCAGCAGCAGCAGCAGCGGGGGAGGTGATACCAACGATACTATTGGCGTTCTTAGAGCACAATTCGTTGTTAATGCCCCTATACATAATAAAGGTATGTCTCCTTTTTGTCTCCTTTTTGTCTCCTTTTTGTCTCCTTTTTATCTGTCTCCTTTTTCTTTCTGTCTCCTCTGTATCCTGCTGTCTCCTGTTGTCCCTTCTGTCTCCTCTTCTCTTTCTTCCTCTTTGTCTCTTCGTCTTTCTCCATCCCTCTATCATCTTCCCTCCTTTCTACCTCTCAGCCATATCCCTCTGTCACCCCTAAACCCTAAACCCTAAACCCTAAACCCTAAACCCTAAACCCTAATTATATATTTATGTGTGTGTGTGTGTATATATATATATAGGAGTGTTTATTGAATCCGTTGGCTTAGTGATGGAGTTATTATACATTCCTTCTGTTGGTTTACCTCCTCCTTCTTCTTGTTATACTGCTGATGGTACATTTTCTAATATAAAGTCTTTGCTGCCATCAGAGCAGCAACCGTCTCCTGCTGCTGCTGCTGCGCTGCTGCAAAGGGGACGCAATAATCATTCCCTTATTAATCGTTTATCTGTACAAAGATATGAAGATATGGTAGGGGGAGGAGACGATCCCACTACTGGAGGAGACGATCCCAAGACTGCTGGGATCGATCCCAAAATGAAAAAAGTCGTTCCCAGAGTGGGAGGAGACGATCCCAAATCGGGAGGAGACGATCCCACAGCAGGAGGAGACGATCCCACGGATATAGATTTAGTACATATAGTTCTTCCTCGTTATGATACATTATTACAAAAGTTAGTACAATATGATTCTGCTGCTGCTGCTGCTGCAGCATCTGCTGCTGCATCATCATCAGGTCCTGCAGCAGCAGCAGCAGCAGCAGCAGTAGCAGGTATAGGGCCAGTATTATTAATATCTAATGTTGTCCCCTTTATTGCTGGTCTACGTGTAGGTACAGATATAGCGGAGATATATATAGGTATAAATTTACCATTAGAGACAGGAGACACCCCATTAAGGGACACATTAGTTGCTGATTGTAAGGAGAGACAGCAACTTTTCTTCCAATTAAGAGTCCCTGTATTATCTGCACGCAGTATGCTGCTGCAGGTCTCTCATCAGCCTTTTTCTTATGTACCTTTTGCTGTACCTTGTGCTGTAGTTACTGCAGCAGCAGCAGCAGCAACACAGTGGCCACCACCAACCCCACCATCTTTTGTTGAACAAACAGATGCATATGCCCTCGAATCAGCAACACTTGTTATGGAGGGTGGCTATGCATAGCTGCAGCAGCAGCAGCTGCTGCTGCTGCTGCTGTTGCTGTGTAAAGCAGCAGGGAACCGCAACAACAACAGATGCTGCTGCTGCAGCTGGCTCCAGCAGCAGCAGCGGCCTTAGCAGCAGCAGCAGCAGTTGTTGCTGCTGTTGCCTCCAATTGACGATGGTGCATGCATGCATGCAACACTGCGGTGACTTTGCAGCTGTTGCTGCAGCAGCAGCAGCAGCAGCAGCAGCAGCAGCACAGCAGCAACTTGACACCTACTTAGGTCTTAACTGTCCCTTTTTGTCTTTTATCCCCTTTTTGTCTCCTCTTTTGTCTCCTTTTATTAATTATTATTATAATTTATTATTTATTATTAACTATTGTTAATTTTATTAACTATTATTTATTATTTTATTAATAATTACTATTAATTATTATTATTATTATTATTATTATTATTATTATTATTAATTATTCTTTTTTTTTATTTATACCTTCTATGTGTCTCTTATTGCCGTGTCTGTCTCCTTTTTTCCTATACAGATCTGTCTCCTTTTTGTCTCCTTTTTTTGTCTCTTTGTCTCCTTTTTTTGTCTCCTTTTTGTCTCCTTTCTTTGTCTCCTCCCTCTCTGTGTGTCTCCTCTCTCTGTGTGCCTAAGTGTCTCCTCTCTGTCTATCTATGCCTCTCCTACCTGTGTGTCTCCTTTCTGTCTCTTTTCTCTCTGTCGCAGCAGCGACAACAGCAGCAACACCAACTAGCAACAGCAGCAGCAGCAACAGCAGCAGCAGCAACAGCAACAGCAGCAACAGCAACAGAAGAAGAATAAGAGGAAAAGAAGTTAATATTTATAGTTGTAGTATTTGCTCAATTTGTATTCTTATATCCTCTAGTGTCTCTGCAGCAGCGGCTTGGAGTTGCTGCAGCAGCAAATGGTCCATTGGTCCACCATATAATTTAAGGGTGACCAATGGTCTGTCTCCTTTTTTTTTTTGTATAAATATTATTTCTTTTCCTTGTCTCCTTTCTTCCTCTGTTGGATCAAATAGCCAATTGTTATCTATTATATTGCATGCAGTTAAGGAGACAGGAAGAGACAATAGGCGCAGCCTCTTACCATATACAATTGTCCTGCTGCTGCCCCTGCTGCTGCTGCTGCTGCTGCTGCTGCTGGTGTTGCTGCTGCAGTGCATATCACCAGCAGCAGGTGCTGCTGCTGCTGCAGCAGCAGGAACAGCAGGAGGAGACAGTATAGCCCACCATTTCCTGTCTTGGTCCCATTCAACATCAGGGAGACGGAGACAGCTAAGTGCAGCAGCAGCAGCAACTGTTGGGCTACTTACTATATTACCATCAAATTGCATGCATGCAATACGTACATCTATATGCCAATAATATTTTATATAATTTGTATTATTATTATTGCTGCTGCTGCTGCTGCTGCTGCTGCTGCTGTTGCTGATGTCCTCGTCGTCGTCGCTGCTGCTACCGTTGCTCTCTGCATCAGCAGTAGCACTACCACCACCATTATCTGCTGCTGCTGCTGTTTTTGCTGCTGCTGCTGCTGCAGCAGCAGCAGCAGCAGCAGCATTCCCTGTGAATTCAAGTTGTGTATGATCTAGTATAAGAGGATCATTAAATAAAGAGTTGAGGTGTCTAGACACCTCACGAGCAGCACCTAATGAATCCTCGTTGCTGCTGCCGCATATACGAGGCATATCTACATATACTGTTATCTTACCTCCATACTTCTGCTGCTGCTGCTGTTGCTGCTGCTGCTGCTGCTGCTGCTGCTGCTGCTGCTGGTGTTTGTTGTTGATGCTGCTGCAGCAAGGGAGAGGAACAGGAGGACCTAACTTACACTCTACTGCAGCAAACCACCAATCAGCACCTGTACGTACAGCAGCAGATGCATGCGCTGCAGCAAGAGGAGGACTAAGAGGGTTAATAATAGAATCATTGCTGCTGCTGCTGCTGCTGCTGCTGCTGTTGCTGCTGCTGTTGCAATTAGTACATATAAATATATTATTATTATTGTCTCTCCCTGCTGCATGCAATAAGAAGGGACGTGTCTCCCTTAGTCTCCTCCCGTCAGGCCTAACGCGTCTCCTTAAGAAAGGATAAATAAAAGAACGAGGGCAGGCACGACGTAGTATCTCACAGTCCCCCATCTTCTTCCTGCTGCTGCTGCTGCTGTTGCTGCTGTTGCTGTTGCTGTTGCTGCTGCTGTTGCTGTTGCTGCTGCTGTTGATGGTGTTGGTGGTGTTGGTGTTGGTCCTGCTGCTGCTCCTGCTGCTCGTGCTGCTGCTAGGCTAGTTGACGATCTTCTGTGGGGCAGTCTTCTAGTGTCTTTATAACAGCAATGTTGCTGCAGCAGCAGCAGCAGCAGCAGCAGCAGCAGTTGGTGTGCTGCTGCTATGGATTCTGCTGCTAATTTTATATGCGCTAGCTGCTGCTGTTGCTCTTGTTGATGCTGCTCCTGCTGCAGCTGCTGTTGTTGCTGCTACTGTGGAGGAAGGCAGCAGCAGGAGCTGACGGTAACAGCAGCAAGCTGCTGCTATATCCCTTAATATACAATAATTAAATAAATAAATTAAATATATTTATATAACAACAATTAATTCTTTTGCTGCTGCTGCTCTGCTGCTGTGCATGCAGTTTGCATGCATGCATGCAGCAGCGCAGCATCCGACGCTGCTGCTGCGGTTCTATGTACTGAGACTATACGAGCAACAACAGCAGCAGCAGCAGCAGCAGCAGTAACAGCAAGACACCTATATAATAGTAAATAAATTTAATTAATAAAATTTATTTTCTTCCTTTTAGTCATTAATTAATCATTTAATACTAAATAGGAGCAGCAAACGCCTGCAGGCATTAGCAGCAGCAGCAGCAAGAGCAGCAGCAGGAAGAGCAGCAGCAGCAGCAGCAGCAGCTGTCTCCGTTTGATTGTCGTTATATTGAACGCTCAGTCACTAAGACACTGCCACCTGATAGTCAAGCAGCAGCAGCAGCAGCAGCAGCAGCTGCTGCTGCTGCTGCTGCTGGTGCTGCTCTTGCAATATTCTGCTGCTGCACTTGCTGCTGCATTTGAGCATTCCTTTGAAGATGAGGCGACAACAAGGAGGTGGTGGCAGCAGCAGCAGCAACAGCAGCAGCAGCAGCAACAGCAACAGCAGCAGCAGCAGCAGCAGACGAGGTCCTCCCCAGCTTCTTCGTGGCACATTATACGGTAGCAGCAAATTTAATCCTTTGCTGCTGCTGTCTCAGCTGCTGCTGCTGCTTAGCTGCTTCTATTTGCTGCTGTGTCTCTTCTCCCTTGGTACTCTTACGTTGCTGCAGCGCCGTCAACAATTAGCAGCAACTTATCCTCATCTTACCCTGCAGCAGCAGCAGCAGCAGCAGTTGCTGCAGCAGGGTCGTTCCCTCCGTTTACCACGGTCTGACGTGTTACCACCAGCAGCAGCAGCAGCAGCAGCAGCAGCAGCAACTCCGGTGCAGCAGCAGCCGCGCCAAGTGTCTCTCCTGTTCAGCAGCGGGAGTCCCTCAACAGCAAAGGAGACAGCAGCAGCACTTGATGCTGCAGTACTATTAACGGATCTCTGTCTGTAAGTAATTGCTGCTGCTGCTGCAGCAGCAGCAACAGCAGCAGCAACAGCTGTTGTTGTTGTTGAGGTTGTTGCTGCTGCTGCTATTATTGTTGCTGCTGCTGTTGCTGCTGTAGCAAATGCTGCATGCACAATTTCTGCTGCATCTGTCATACAGCTTCCGCTCTTGCTGCTGCTGCTGCTTCTACTACAACTGCTGCTGCTGCTGCTGTTGCTGCTGCTGCTGCTGTGCATCAGGTCTGTATTTATATATTGGGTTGTAGGGAGATCAAGGAAAGTATTAGATTTTTGTGTCTCCTTGCTGCTGCTGCATCTCCTTGCATGCACTCTTGTTGCAGGATTCCCCACACGAAGTTAGTTCCTGCTGTTGCTGCTGCTGCTGCTGTTGCTGCTGTTCTTGTTACTGTTGCTGCTGTTGCTGCTGCTCCGGTTGCTGCTGTTATTGTTGCTCTGGTTGCTTCTGTTGCTGTTCCTCCCGTTGCTGCTGTTGCTGCTGTTGCTGCTGCTGCCGTATAAATTGCAGGGGAGGGGGGACAAAACAAAAGCGTCAGCTGTTTCTTACATGTATACCCATGCGTTGTGCTGTTCATTGCTGCTGCTGCTGCTGCTGTTGCTGCTGCTGCTGCTGTTGCTGCTGCAGCTAGCTATTGGTTATGTGTATTGTGCAGCAGATGGTTATGCGTTGTTATTTCTTCTTGTCTTTGCCGTATAAAAGAGAGGGAAGAAATAATATTTAGGGACAGTATACAAGGAGACAGGAGACACTCAGAGGAGACACTAGCAGCAGCAGCAGCAGCAGCTGCTGCTGCTGCTGTCAAGGAAATTGAACTGCAGCAACAGCATTACTGCATCAGCAGCAACAACCAGCAGCAACAGCAGCAGCAGCAGCAGGAAGGTCAGATGCTTCTTGTTGCTAACTAATGTAAGAGATAGCTAACGGCAGCAGCAGGGAGGGAAGCCCTTACTTGCTGCTGCTGCTGTTGCTGCTGCTGCTGCTGCAACGAAAGCAGCAGCCAAAGCAGCAGCAGCAGCACAGATAGTAGTAACGACTCAAGTTGCTGCAGCAGCAGCAGCAGCAGCAAATAACGTGGCGTTAACTATGCACTAGTAGCCATACAATTGGCTAGACGTTTGCCTTCAAGCGCAATGCAGCAGCAGCAGCAGCAACAAGAGTAGCTGCTGCTGCTGCTGCTGCTGCTGCTGCTGCTGCTGCTGGAGGGGCGTCAATAGTATATTTCAAAATAAATAGCTTGCCATTCGGTTAACTAATGGAGCATGCAGCTAGCTAGCTAGCTAGCTGGTGGCTAGCTAGCTGGCTAGCTAGCTGGCTAGCTAGCTGGCTGGTGGCTAGCTAGCTGCTGAGTCAGACCCCATGGCGGACAGCCAGTTAGCTACAGGGATCCACGTCAGCTAGCTAGCTATCCAGCTAGCTAACCACGTAGCTAGCTAGCGAGGTAGCTAGCTAGCCAGGTAGCTAGCTAGCTAGCTGCGGACCAGTGTACAGCGAGTCCCCGCAGTATGCAGATAGCGGGTGGACAGCTAACTAGCTAGCCAGACAAACAGCTAGCTAGTTGGCTAGCTAGCTAACCAAATAGCTTGCTAGTTAGCTAGCTAGCTAGCTAGCTAGCTAGCTAGCTAGCTAGCTAGCTAGCTGGCCATTTACAGCCGACAGTGAGTAGCGTTAGCTAGCCAGCTAGCCATACTAGCTAGAAGGCTGGCTAGATACAACAAAGTTGTGGCTAGCGAACCAAGCAGCTAGCTAGCTAGCTAGCTAGCTAGTTAGCTAGCTAGTGGTCTATTTATTCAAGAAGCGGATTGTCTCCTTGCCAGTCAGATGCTGCTGCTGCTGCTGGCTGCTGCACATTGGTACTCTTGTTGACAGTGTTGCTGCTGCTGCTGCAGTTACTTCTGTTGCTGTTGCTGCTGCTGTTGCACTTTCTGCTGCTGCTATTGGTTTGCAGGGCACGCTTGCCCCTTTTGCCTGCTGTCTCTTCTTCCCCATCAGTGGAGGCCCCGTCGGACTCTGCTGCAGTTGCTGCTGCTGCAGCAGCAGCAACAGCAGCAGGAGTATGTGTAAGTGCAGGTTCAACAGTACTAAGACTAAGTATGAATTGCCTTTTGCTGCTATTGAATTCAGCAGCAGCAGCAGCAGCAACACTGCTACGAGCTAGCAGCACAATTGCCTCACAGTGTAGTGTATGAGGAAACATATCTAAGGGGACAGCAGCAAGAGGGACAAAAGGATCAATACACTCAGGAGACGATAACCTATAAGGAGACACATACAAGAAAAAAAAAAAAAGAGGAGACACTTTTATTTATTTATTTATTAAGGAGACACTCTTGTTTATTTATCAGCAGAAGCGACAACGACAGCAGCAGCAGCAACAACACCTGTAGCAGCATCATCAACAGCAGCAGCAGCAGCAACAGCAACACCTGTAGCAGCATCATCAACAGCAGCAGCAGCAGCAGCAGCAACAGCAGCAATATTCAAAGGGTGCATGCATGCATGCGCCATACTCGAGGATATTCTCCACTAAAGTTTTGCAGTTGCAGGAGACGTAAACCAATCTCCCTGAAGACACAGCAGCAGCAGCAGCAGCAGCAGATGATGAAGCAGCAGCAACAGCAATCGGACCCTTTTATTGGTTGCTGTAGAGACAGCAGCAAATGCTACAGCCCTAACTGCAGCAGCAGCAGCAGCAGCAGCAAGTGTGTGTAGTTTGCTGCTGTGGCTGCTGCACTCACTTAGCTGCTTGCATTGTTTTAGAGCCTTCAGCACCTTCGTATCTGCAGCACAATCCAGCAGCAGCAGCAGCAGCAGATGCATGCGTGCATGCATGCATCGACAGCAACGGACCCACGCAGTAGCAGCAGCAGGAAGGACAGCAGCAGCAGCAAGAGGAGCAGCAACAACAGCAGCAGCAGCTCACGAAGCCCCATCCTCGGAGGGTCGACAACAGCTGAGACATGTGTCTCCTGCGTAAACTCTTGAAGGAGACTTGGCAGCACATCCTCAGCCTTCCCTGCAGCAGCAGCAGCAGCAGCAACAGCAAAAGCAGCAGCAACAGCAGCAGCAACAAGTTGCAGACATTTACTGGGGCACAGCGAATCAGCCACACAAAGACCCACCAAATCAGAAAAGGCTACAGTTTTATAAGCAGCAACAACAGCAGCAGCAACAGAAGCAGCAGCAGCAACAGCAGCAGCAGCAGCAGCAGCAGCAGCAGCAGACCTGCGATGAATTCGACGTCATTTTGTAGTCCATTTAATTTTGCATTTCTTTTTGCATCTTCAACAGCAGAAGCAACCACCTCTATACCAATTACCCTCTTCCTGCTGCTGCTGCTGCTGCTGTTGTTGTTGCTGTTGCTGTTGCTGTTGCTGTTGCTGTTTTTGCTGTTGCTGTTGCTGTTGCCATCTGGATGATGATGATCAGCATCAGCAGCAGCAGGATCAGCAGCAGCAGCAGCACGTTTAATTGCTGCAGCAAGACATAGTGCTATAGTACCAGCACCGCTACATATATCAAGGACAGGCCCTGATGGCGG